TCAAATTGTTGTAATATCAGTGGGAGAGACCAAGGGGACCTCTCACATTGCCATTTCTCTGAGGTCTTTATGTTGGATTTTATCAAATGCTCTTTCTGCTTCTATTGATATGATCGTATGATTTTTATTTTTCATTTTATTTATGTGGTGTATTGATTTGCAAATGAACCAACTTTGCATCCCTGGATGAAATCCCAACTGATTATGGTGTATGGTTGTTTTAATATATAGCTGAATTTGTTTTGCTAATGGTTTTTTTAAATTAAATTTATTGGGGTGACATTGGTTGATAGGGTCATATAGGTTTCAGGTGTACATTTCTATGATACATGATTGGTATGTTGCATTGTGTGCCCATTACCCAAAGTCAAATCACCTTCCATTACCATATATTTGGTCCCCTCTACCTTTTACTACTCCTGCACCCACTTCCCTCTTGTAACCACCATGCTGTTGTCTATGTCTATGAGTTTCAATTTTAGATCCCACTTATGAGAAAAATCATATGGTTCTTAGCTTTTCCTGACAGATTTATTTTGCTTAACATAATATTCTCAAAACTAATCCATGTTGTCACAAAAAATTTCATTTTTTCTTATGCCTGTGTAGTATTCCATTGTATAGATGTACCATGTCTTCTTTATTGAATCCTAATTAAAGAATGCTTTTGTTCTTTCCATGTCTTGGCCACTGTAATGCTGCAGTGAACATAGTGGTGCATATATCTTTGTGAATAAATAATATTCCATGTGTGAGCATGCATTTTTGTTATCCATTCACTCATTGATAGATATGTTATTTGCATGTCTTTGCTACAGTAAATAATGTTGCAGTAAGCATGAGAGTGCATATATTTTTTCAAGTTAGTGTTTTTGTTTCTTTTAGATAAATACCCAGAAGTGGAGTTGGTGGATCATATATGGTCATTGTAGTTGTAATTTTTTGAGGAAACTCCATACAGATTTCATATGCCTCTACCAGTTTACATTTTCACCAGCAGTGCACAAGGGTTCACTTTTCTCCACATTCTGGTCAACACTTGTTATTTCTTATCCTATATAATAAAAGCCTTATATGCAAATTGTCCCCTGGACTGGGAGTTCGACAAGGGGGCGGGGCCAGCCAACCGTGGGAAGGGAGGCCCTGGCCGGCGGTGGTGGCAGGCATCTGGGGGAAGGGAGGCCCCAGCCGGAGGTGGCAGCAGACAGCCGGCGGAAGGGAGGTCCTGGCCAGCAGCTGGCAGCTGCTAGGGACCCTATCCGTGCACGAATTTCATGCACTGGGCCTCTAGTACTATATAATAAAAGGCTAATATGCAAATTGTCCCTTCTACTGGGAGTTTGGCCGGGAGTTCAACCAGGGGGCGGGGCCAGCCGACCAATCGCCACAGCCCCTCCCCATGGCCGGCCCGGCCTGATCGGCCCCAATAGAAGCGGGCCGGCTGACCCCACTCATGCACGAATTTGTGCACCAGGCCTCTAGTCTCTTTATAATAGTCATTTTGACAGGCATGAGGTAATATTTCATTGTGGTTTTGGTTTGCATTTTCCTGAGATTAGTGATGTTGAGCACTTTTTAATGTGCCTGTTGTCCCCCTTCCTTCCTTCCTTCCTTCCTTCCTTCCTTCCTTCCTTCCTTCCTTCCTTCCTTCCTTCCTCTTATTGTTTAAAGTATTACATATGTCTCCTTTTTCCCCCATTGACCCCTCCCCGGCCACTCACACCCCCCAGGACAAGCCCCCACCACCCCAGTGTCGTGTCCATTGGTTATACTAATATGCACGCATATAAGTCCTTTGGTTGTATGTCTTCTTTGGAAAAATGTTTCTTTAGGTCAGTGGTTCTCAACCTGTGGGTCGCGACCCCTTTGGGGGTCGAACGACCCTTTCACAGGGGTCGCCTAAGACCATTGGAAAACACATATATAATTACATATTGTTTTTGTGATTAATCACTATGCTTTAATTATGTTCAATTTGTAACAATGAAATTGGGGGTCACCACAACATGAGGAACTGTATTAAAGGGTCGCGGCATTAGGAAGGTTGAGAACCACTGCTTTAGGTCCTCCGCCCATTTTCTAATGGGATTGTTTTTTGTTTGTTTGGTTTTGTTATTTTTTGCTATTGTATTATATAAGTTCTTTATATATTTATGATATTAATCTCTATCAGATACTTGCTTTGGAAATATATTTTTCCATTTGGTACATTCCTTTTTATACTGTTGACGGTTTTTCTTACTCTGCAGAAATTTTTTAGTTTGATGTAGTCCCTTGTTTATTTTGCTTTTGTTGCCTTAGCTTTTGGTGTCAAATTAAGACCAGTGTGTTGGTGTCAGCCCCAAGGGTGTGCTTGGGTTCTCTTAGATAGGGTAGAAGTAGAAAAATAGGGTCAGGGTGTGGGTGGACAAGTCAGTCAAGTTGAGGGGAGGGAGGAGAATGCATGGGTCAGTCAGGCGGAGAGGAGTTCTTATCTTGCTTCTGCAGGCATAGGTGGTCCTCCCCAAGCCATGGGAAAGGTTTATAACACTATGCACTGAGTGGCCAGATTATTATGACCACCCCATCAGTACAATGAAGTGAATTAGTTAAGCAAATAATAATAAAACCTTGAGAGTATTTGCTTAGGAAGTTTTCAATATTCAGTATTTTTGGAAGTGTCAATGAAGTACTGATGGGGTGGTCATAATAATCTGGTCGGTCATAATAATCTGGCCACTCAGTGTATATTTCAGAAAACATGTCCAAGCAGGAGAGATTAGGGGAAGTTCATCCTAACAATTACCAAGACCAGTGTCCTCCCTTTTATCTTACATGATCTCTGCTGCTAGAGGGGAGCAATGTTTCCCTGGGCCTTTTTTAAAACTCTACCCTATGGCAGTTCTGGATTGCAGTCTCCTCTAGTGTTCATTTGGGATATACAAGAGGCAAAAACAAACCTCTGGAAACCGAACACCTGATCCTCCCTTAATTCCTGAAGTCTCAACCCATTCTGCCTTCTATCCACATTTCAGAATCTTTCATTACTTGTTATGTGCATTATATCAGTGGTTCTAAATTATCATTAATGGGAGCCTGGGAGGAATGTGCTTTTAGATCTATCATGATTAGGATGGGAACTTTACTCCAACACTTACTGAATGAATGATTAAATGAATACACACATATTACCTACAAGTTGCTTGTGCTTGTGGGTGTCAGTATAACAATAGGTATAAGTAGTAACAAAATTAAGATAAATTCCTATGGGAACTTGTTAACATAAAAAAACATTCAAACCTGTAAAGAATTTTTGTGAGTTTATTTGAACAAAACTGTCGACAAGTGCTGGAAAGCAGAATCTCAAAGAATTAATATAATGCTTCAGAGAACGGCAGTGCTCTGGAGTATGGCAGGTTTTAACCTATTTGTATACATTACAGTAAAAGGAGGAGACGTAAGTGGGTTACATGAAATTCATTGGTGATAGATTAGGGAGTCAGGAAAAAGCAAAGCAGGGAGACCCCTGGGATTGGATAAAAATTAAAATGATAGACTCATGTTTCTTTTACTTAGGTGGGTACAGGATAGTTAACAGTCAAAACATGAGACCATCCTTTGTGGTCTGACTTTAGATCTCTTAGTTTGCAAGACCTCCACACAGGTTAGTATGTGGCCCCTTTTTGTCCACAAACTCATAGGCACAGAAAATATTTCTAGTGATTTTGGAATAGAACATGTGGTATGATGGTGAGATCATTGTCCATACAATAATTTTCTGACACCAAGTGGGCGTCCTTCAATTCAGTTTAATCATGACCCACAGGTTAAGGGCAAAATCCTCCACAAGACTGCTCCATTTCATATGCCAGCACAAGTCTCAGGGGCCCCTGCATGTCTGACCTACATAGCAATCATTTGAGCGTTCCCACAGCGCCTTCAGATATTTTTAAAATATATTTTTAATGATTTCAGAGATGAAAAAAGAGAGAGAGACAGAAAGAGAAAGAGAGAGAGAGAGAGAGAGAGAGAGAGAGAGAGATGGAAACATCAAGATGAGATAATCATTGATCAGCTGCCTCCTGCACGCCCCCTAGTGGGGATAGAGCCTGCAACTCTGGCATGTGCCCTTGACTAGAATCAAACCCAGGACCCTTTAGTCCGCAGGCTGATGCTTTATCCACTGAGCCAAACCAGCTAGGGCAAGCCCCCTCAGATTTGATAATTTGCTAAGACTCAAGAAACTCACTGAAAAATGCTATACTAAAAACTGTGATTTTATTATTAAAGGTACAACCTAGAAACAGCCAAATGGAAACAATGACTAGGCATGGTCTGGGGCAGGGTTGGGGTGGGGGTACGAGGAGAAATGTAGACTTTTGCGCCCTTTCTTGCAGAATCCATGCACATTAGCCTCCAGCTCCACTGAGCTTTGTTTTCCAGATTTTTTATTGGTGTTTCCGTACCTATTGATAATTGATTAAATGATTGCCCACGTGATTGAGCTCCTCCCACCCCCCTCTCCTTCCTGGAGGTCTGGTTGGCCCAAAGTTTCAATCTCTTTGATCGAGTGGTTGGTGATTCTGGTGACCAGTCCCTATCTGGAGGCTATCTAGGGGTCACCTTGAGTCATTCACATCACAAAGGCACTCCTGGCACTCGGGACTTTTAAGGGTTTTTGAAGCTCTGTGCCAGCAACTAGGGACAAAACAAGATATATTTTTTATTCTACCACAGTTATCAAGTAAAATTCCAAGGAGAATGTGGCATCTGAGTGGTGCCTTGAAAGATGGGTAGGATTTAAACACTTGCAGATGGGGAAAAGGGCATTCCAGGCTGAAAAAGTTGCATTAGCAACCACACAGGCACACACTCAAAAGTGCAGAGTTCAGTATGTAGAAATATATCTAATATTTTCTTTAGCTTTAGTGAAGGATCTATAAAAGAGAATATTGAATAAAGCCAGGTTGGACCTCTTGTTTAATAATATTTATTAATTATAAACTTTTTTATTCCTACAGAGCAGAAGAAAGAAGAGATCTGTTTATGTTTTTCCGAAGCCTGCACTTTTTTGTGGAATGGTGTGAATATCGGAAGCGCACATTTAAACATTTCAAGGTAGTGTCTAAAGTCTTCAAATTTAAACATATGATGAAAAAGTGAAACTCATTTTAATTTGGAGATTTAACATAACATTCTTTCCTTAAAGTTTTTAAACAAGAAAAATTTAATTGGCTTCTGGAATTTGCAATTATTTGGAATAAATGAAGGAGGAATGCTTTTGTACAAATCAGTGAATCTTTATGATGGAATATCTTGAAAGAAGTGTAGTTATATTCTTATATGTTTTATAATACACATTTTATTTTTTTTTATTTTTATTTATTTATTTATTTTAAAATATATTTTTTTATTGATTTTTTACAGAGAGGAAGGGAGAGGGATAGAGAGTTAGAAACATCGATGAGAGAGAAACATCGATCAGCTGCCTCCTGCACACCTCCTGCTGGGGATGTGCCCACAACCAAGGTACATGCCCTTGACCGGAATCGAACCTGGGACCTCTCAGTCCGCAGGCCAATGCTCTATCCACTGAGCCAAACCAGTCAGGGCTTATAATACACATTTTAAAAAATTAATTTATCAAGGGTACTTGAAGTGAAATGACAGATGCTAATAAAGAGCCCCAGCTGGTATGGCTCTGTTGGTTGGGCATCACATCCCGTGTACCAAAAGCTTGCCCGTTTGATTTCTGGTGAGGGCACATGCCTGCCTGGGCAGGAGGCAGCTGATGAATGTTTTTCTCTCTCCCCTCTCCCTTCTCTCTCTAAGAGTCAATTTAAAAAGTCTTTTAAAAAAAGAATAAAATTGTAGCATGCTTATCACATAGCAGTATGATCTTTACTTCCTGAGTTGGCCTTTGTATTTTAAGCTTCTTAATTATCAATATTTCAAGTTTAAATACTGAACCCTGATTCTTATAAAGTAGTGATTCTTAAGTCTGATCCCGATATATTAAAAAACTCCTTTTTATTACTTTTGTTTGTTTTCTGGCATAACTAGAATTATGTTTGGCTGCATTGTAATCCTCCAGGTTCTACATCAGGGGTGGGCAAACTTTTTGACTCGAGGGCCACAAAGGGTTCTTAAAGTGGACCGGAGGGCCGGAACAAAAGCATGGATGGAGTGTTTGTGTGAACTAATATAAATTCAAAGTAAACATCATTACATAAAAGGGTACGGTCTTTTTTTTTTTTTTAGTTTTATTCATTTCAAACGGGCCGGATCTGGCCCTCGGGCCGTAGTTTGCCCACAGCTGTTCTACATAGTTGGATAGCATCAAATTATTAACAGCAGTGATCCACACAAAAACCAGCTCTGAAAGAGTCAGCATAAGTAGGATCTCAAGATTCAGGTTTCTTCAAGAGCCATTAACTCTCCTTTGTTTTGTTTTCTATTATTATTATTACTAGAGGCCTGGTGCATGAAAGTTCGTGCACTGGCGGGCTGTCCCCTCAGCCCGGCCTGCCCCCTCTCACAATCCGGGAGCCCTCAGGGGATGTCCTACTGACAGCATAGGCCCGCTCCCTGCAGAGAGCGGGCTTGGAGAGCGGGCCTAAGCCGCAGTCTGGCCTCTCTCTGTGGGAGGCGACCGGACTGATCATGGGAAGGCGCCACCCCCATCACCCCGCTGCTGCTGCCACTGCCAGCCGGCCACTGCGACTGACTCCCGGCCGTCGGCCCTCCCTTCTTAGTTCTGGCCCTGTCCCCTGCCTACTGGTGGGTGGGGGGTGATCTGGGGCCAGGTTGGCTGTGGGAGGGGCTGTGGGAGGTTGAGACACAGCAGGTCGCACCCCGTCCAGCCTCTGTGGAGGCCTGGCGCCGGGCCTGGGCCTGCGCCGATGCCTCTGTAGCTGCCTCCGCAGAAGAGGCAGCACTGGGACGGGGACCGCGCAGCCCCCTCTCCCTCTGCCTCTGTGAAAGGGGCTGTGGTGCTGGACCGACCGGTGCGAGGCCTCTCCCGCGCCGCCAGCCAAGGCGCAGCTGCTGTGCTTTGTCCGGATGGACGTCTGGAAGATGTCCTGTCTAATCAGCATGTTACCCTTTATTAGTATAGATTATTTGCATTCAGTTTGGTTGAACTAATAAAATCTGTCAGGCATAGGGTTTTCTTTAGAATGAAACATGCTAATATCTGTACCTGTACTGTGGTCCCTTGAGGAGTTCTCTCGATTATCTCGATTACTTTCGGGTGCTCTTGGCACCAGAACAATTAAATAGTTCTTCTTCACAAATGATTGAGGAATATGCTGCCAGTTATAGTTATGAATCACCTAATGTGGTTGTTTGTTTATACATTTGAACGGGTTGTGGGGAAAGTGAGCACTAGTCCCATTTCCAAAGCCAGTTCACCTCCAGGTGCTTTCCATGCAGGTGTGAAGTATAATTGTGTGTTTTTCCTGTAGGCAGAGCACTTCTATGGTGATAAGTTTACTAGAATGGAAAGAAACAGTCACATTGTTGTACAATCATGTCAATATCTAGCTCCAGAAGTTTTTCATTATTCCAAACTGAAACTTTGTCCCCATTATATGGTAACTTGCCATTTCCTTCTCCCGCAGCTTCCGGGAACTAGCATTCTAGCTTCTGTTTCTATGAATTTGACCACTCTGGTTACCTCATTGAAGCAGAATCCTAAAATTAGCCCTTTGCCTGGCTTATTTCACATAACATAATGTCCTCAAGGCTCATCTGTGTTGTTGCATATGTCATGATTTCCTTCCTTTTTAAGGCTGAATAGTATTCCATTTTATGTGCTTTATCACATTCTGTTGATCCATCCATCTGTTGATGGACAGCTGGGTGTTTCTATCTTTTGGCTATTACGAAAATGCTTCTATGAAGCATGGTGTACAATAACCATTATATCTGTTCGAATCCCTGCTTTCAGTTCTCTTAAGTATAACCTGCGAGTGGAATTCCTGGATTATATGGCAAGTCTATCTTTAATATTTTTTAAGAACTGCATGTTTGTTTCCACAGTAGCTATACCATTTTACATTTCCAACATCAGTGTACAAGGCTTCCAATTCCTTCATATCCAGTTGTTAATTTGGGGTGGGTTTTTTTCTTTTTTTGTCATAGCCAGCCTAATGGGTGTGAAGTGGTATTCTCATTGTCTGTGTGTGTGGTTTTTAAAAATATTTTTATTGATTTCAGAGAGGAAGGGAGAGGGAAAGATAGAAACATCAATGATGAGAGAGAATCATTGATCGGCTGCTTCCTGCACGCCCCTTACTGGGGATCAAGCCTGCAACCTGAGCATGTGCCCTAGACTGGAATCGAACTCGGGACCCTCCAGTTCACAGGCCGATGCTCTATCCACTGAGCAAATCAGCTAGGGCCTCATTGTGGTTTTGATTTGCATTTTCTCAGTAACCAGCAATGTTGAGCATCTCTTCATGTGCTTATGGGCCATTTGTATGTCTTCTTTGGAGAAATATCTATGCAAGGCCTTTCCGCACTGAATCAGATTGTTGGAGTTTTTATTGTTGAGTTGTAGTTCTTTATATATTCTAGATATTGATCCCTTATCTGATACATAATTGGTAAATATTTTCTCCTATCCCCTGGATTGTCTTTTCATTCTCTTGAGAATGTCTTTTGATGCATGAAAGTTTTTAATTTTGAAGAAGCCAAATTATCTATTTTTAATGCCATATCCAAAATATTATTGTCAAATTTAATGTCATAAAGATTTTTCTCTAATAGTTTTATAGTCGCCCTGACTGGTTTGGCTCAGTGGATAGAGTGTCGGCCTGTGGACTGAAAGGTCCCAGGTTCGATTCCAGTCAAAGGCATGTACCTTGGTTGTGGGCACATCCCCAGTGGAGGATGTGCAGGAGGCAGCTGATCGATGTTTCTAACTCTGTATCCCTCTCCCTTTCTCTCTGTAAAAAATCAATAAAATATATTTTTAAAAAAAGAGTTTTATAGTTTAGCCCTTAAGTTTAGGTGTTTAGTTTGTAAGCGAAGGATCCAACCTCATTCTTTTGCATGTGCTTATTCAGTTTTCCAGCATTGTTTGTGGAAGAGACTGTCCTTTTCCTATTGAGTGGTCTTGGCACCTTTGTTGAAAATCATTTGACCATATATATATATATATATGCAAAAGTTTGTTACTGGGCTCTCTATAATATTCCGTTGGTCGCTATGTCTGTCCTTATACCAATACCACACTTTTGATTAGTGTATCTCTGTAGTTGCATCTGAAAGGAGCACGTGTGAATCCTCCAGTTTTGTTCTTTCAAGTTTGCCACCCAGGGCCATTTTCCCACTTTTGACCCCATCAGTTAGCTCTCATGAAGTTTATTTTTCCAGATAAACTTACAATTTAATCAGGATTATGATAACATAAAGATTCTATTTTTTTCAAATACAACAGAGCCCTTCTGTTTAAATGGATTTTACTTTGCACTGTTTATTTTTATCTTCAATTAAATGTACTCACTATCATGCTAGGACTCTGAAAGTATAAAGGGAATATGTATGTGCTCAGTGAGCTTCAGTCATTGAGAAATGAGGCCTGCACACAAAGTAATGAGAAAGCAGTCTAATAGTCATGATTATCAGTTACTGAAATAAAATACATGAATGAGTTAATAAGTGTTATGAGGTAATTATTATGGCCTTAAAGAGATCACAGATTGTTTAATGGAAAAGTTTTATTTTGGGGTCAACCTTGACAAATTGGGGAAAAAATGAAAAACAGATAGGAGGTCATTCTATGTAGGGAAAAAATGGAAGCAAATGGAAGCAAATGCTTAAAAATAGGAATAAGTATTTGTTCTGGGAATAATATACAGAGACCAACTTGATTCTAATGTATAGTTTATATTGGAAACAATGTCAGTAATTTTATTGTTGTTGTTAAGCCTCACCTGGGGATATTTTTCCATTGATTTTTAGAGAGTGGAAGGGAGGAGGAGAGAGAGAGAAACATGGACATTGATTGCTTGCCTCCTGCACAGGGCCCGGGGATCGAGCCTGCAACCAAGGCACATGCCCTTGCCGGAATCCTTCAGTCCGCAGCCAATGTTCTGTCCACTGAGCCAAAC